CTTCTCCTTGTGTTTCTGTATGTGTAGAATAATCATTAATTTCTTTACTTTCTCTTTAATTACTGTACTGTGTACCACTGTTGTTTTCAGCTCCAGCACTCTGTTATCACTGTTTTTTCCACTAAAGTGACTGTGAGTGCAGTAAGCTGGCCAGGAGAGTTTTTGTCATTCCTAAGTGGTTAATAATCAAAAAAATTTGAGAACCACAGCTCTAATTAAATCTCCTATTTCAGCCAAACTCGCCTATAGGGACATTGGGGACAAATCACGTATCAACCACAGCGCACATCTCTGGCATCAAATGACGTTCTTGACTGTCCCCCTCATGCAGCCAGCTCTAGGCCTATCTTCTTCTTTAATCTCACTCATGGAAGTATCTGCCCCATCTCTTCAGTTAAAGTCTTGCACGGCAGACACCATACCCTGTAACTCATTAGAGCTCAACATTTAACACGTTGCTTAATACATGTCTGTTAAAGACTATAATCAGTGTCTGAGAGCTAACATTTCCTCCTCTAATTGCTACATTTGTTAGCGAGGTCTTCATTTAGAGTCCTCTGTTCAAACTTTAACCACAAAATTGAAGCATCAAATCAGAATTCACACAAAATAAAGACAAGGTAGTAAACACCAGGATCAAAGCTTATGTAGCTATGGAAGAATGGACTGAGTAAAAGCACAAGTGTCTTTGAATACAATAAAAAATATTTATGAGTAACCATGATTGCTGTGGGGAAGTAAAAAGAGCCCTGGACTACAGGCTGAAAAAGTTCTATTTTCATGTCCGTCATCTGTGCAAGAAGGGCCCATATGGAGCTGGGCATCATTATGACTACATGGAACAGCTATCCATTCTGGTTGATCGGTGCCCATGCTATTCCAGTTGTGTCATATTTTTAATATCACTTCTGAATACAACCAATAACTAAATGCGTACATAATGAAAATTTCTTGCTATAAATTCTATTCCTTCCTAATTTGAGTCTGTTCCTATTCTCCATTATAATCATTTAAAATTTCACTACTCCCTTCAAGACTCCTATCTCAGTACCTGAGACAGTCCCTGAGAGGCACTGAGTCAAGATCGTCTTGAATGTTGAATGAATAAATCTGACCCTTCACTTAATCTCTTAGTGCAGAAAACAAAACGGAACCCCTCTATATTCTTTATGTGATGCCAAAATTTGTTGATCTCACTTTTCTGTTTTCTCCTTAAAAAGTGTTTCAATGCCCTCTCTCCAGCAATAGTTTTATGTCGTCCTCAGCCATAAAAATGCTCAAAATTCTGCCTCCTAAACAATTTCCCAGGACTCTGCCTCCCCACTCAAGTTGCTGTTGTTATTTGCCTTTCCTTCACCTTTATCTTCCTGAAGGTCTACACTCAGCTCCATTTCCCATCCTTACCATACCCCAGCCATGCTAAACTGTTTTCTACCACCACCACTTCACTGAGAATATTTTAAATGTCAGAAGTAGCCCATTATTTGCTAAAGCCTATCATGTCTTTTCAGTCTTCATCCTACCCTATCTGTCCCTAGCACCTGTCATTGCTGATTACCTTCTCCTTGTTGAAACCCTCCCCATCCTCAGCTCCCATCTTATTTGTCTCTCCTAGCACCTCTCCTCTATCTTTCTGGCTACTTCAGGTTTTCCTGGATCTTCTCATGCAAGCTAAAACCTAACCAAGAGAAGGGGGATGGGTGGTAAAAATGGCTGCTTGCAAAAGAGGGTAGAGGGTCAGTGTTGAGAGAGAGCCTGGAGAAGATGGCTGGGGCAGTTGACACAGAGTGGAGACCCTATCTAGGATGTCAGCCTTTAAGTGAGACTGTTGTTTAAAGGTTTGAAAAACCATGGTCTATAGACAAGAATTAAATAGACGCAGGTATTATGATGATGAAAAACCTGAAATGAGCTCAGTGAGAGAGTGTGCTCACCACTGTTCCAGCCAAGGGGTCATAGAATCTCTCAAGGAGCTGGACCACTGTGCTCTTCCCACAGCCGCTGCTGCCGACCAGGGCGAGCGTCTGGCCCTTCTTCACCGCGACGCTCAGCCCCTGAAGCACTGGGATGTCTGGTCGAGTGGGATAGTTGAACACGACTTCATTAAAGGTCACATTTCCTTCCAATGTAGTCTAAAGTGAGAACAATAACAGTAAATTTGCTGCCAATCTGAAAACTCATTGCATAGTCAACCCCCTCTACCACCAGGTGTCAGAAGGTAGTGAACTTGTGTTACAATTAGGATTCATTTGTAACTGCCAGAATGTAATCAATAAGATGCAAAAGGATCAGTGTTTCCATAGTATGTATTTTTAATACAATACAAATATGATAAACTGAAATCTGTTCCCCAAGAACAGAGTAACCTACGTATAATAAAACCCGTTTAACAGGATTTGTTTATAAATTAACAATATTTCCATCCCCCTGTTGCTTTGTTGTACAGAAGTACTGGATACTAACATATATTATTAGCACTTACTAAAATGAACCAATGATCTAGAAAGTTTCATTTTATTGCCAGCAAATAAAAAAGCACAGATTTTATTAAATTTCCTCTTAGAAAACTTTCATTCATCAGTTAGGAGCAGATCATATAACCAAAACATCAAACTCACTGGCTGTAGGCCTTCGGTGCTATAGCTGTCGATCACAGGGGTTCTTTCAATGATCATGATGATGTGGGCTGCTGACACTTTGGCTTTGGCATAGTCAGGAGCAAATGAACTGACCTGCCCCACTGCCATGGCACCAAAGACAACAGCTGAGAATACCCTGCAGAAAACAAAGACAAAACGTGTGCAACAAGTTATGACTGCAAAGCTAGAAAGTTGATACTTCTACAACCAGAGAGCATTGTCTCAACAATTACAAAACAGAAGTTTAGAAAAGAAACACTTTCCTTATAAGTTCATGCCAGTGCAATAAATTGACTGTAAAATGGCCTATTTTTCATCTCTGTCTGTATCCTCACTTTCTTGTAAAGTGACTTTGCAGCTCCTCCATTTAAGAACTGGAATTTGTTTTCCTACCCTTGGAATCTGGGTTGGCCTTGTGACTTGCTTCAGCCAACAGGATGTGGTGGAAGTGACTGTTGCTAGTTCCAAGTACAACTCAGGGGGCCAGGTATGCTTTTCTCTCTCAGTCTCTCTGCCACTACTATAAGCCCAGCCTGCTGGAGGACAAGGCACAGATGGAGGATAGCTGTGTGGGCCAAGCCAACTAGCTTGTAGCTCACTGCACACATGAGTGAACTTAGCTGAGATCCACTATGGCCAACCCAGAAATGCCCAGCTGACCCATAGACTTGTGGGCAAAAATAAATGTTTATTATTGTATTTCACTGGGTTTAGTGGTTGGTTGGTATGCACCATTACTATGGCAATCAATACTGGATATAGGCAGTGATGCTCATTACATCACATTCTTAGAAAACCTCTGAGCTAGACAGCCAAGACAGAGTTCCTTACAGAGCTAGATTTCATGCTGCTCTCAAGATGCGTCAGTATTCTTAATCTATGACGTGGGAATCAGAGCAGCTTCAAGTTGGGAAGATGTCACAAGATATCAAGTCCAACTCTCAATGTTTGTGCCCAGACACTTCTACCAAGTTGGCTTCCATCCTTTGTTTTAGGAAGTAGCAAGTGTGATCAAGTAAGTCTATTGTTAAAAAGTTCTTTTTCAAATTGAAGAAAAATGTACCTCCTTTTGCATGATACAGCCCTTCAAGTATTGGAATATTGTTAAAAAGGCCCTTGGCCTCTTTGATAACTCCTTTCACTCTCAACATTCCAGCTGCCCTCCTCTGGATGCAATTATCCACGTGCCTTTTTAAACACTGGGCCTAGAACTCACATAGTACTTGGGGACCCTCCCATACTAATCCTGAGTCCATCGTGTCCTCTCCCCTCGACTCTAGGCCTGTGTTAATGTAGCACACAGCGTCTTTTCTTTTTTTTAAATAGCTCTAAATAAATCACACACATGGTTAATCTTGGGCTTGTTATTATTTAGACCTGTGGGATCTTTTTAAAATGGACTGCTCTTCAGACAGGTCTCCCCTTTCCTTTACTTGGAAGATTGATTTTCCGAATCGAAACGCCCAAGTATCAGCAACTTTCATCAGTTCAATGCCTTACCCTGGAGTAAAGCAATATATCAAATAATTATCTAATGAAAGCCCCTATGCCAATGATCCTGGTTTTGATCTTTTGGTCATAGTCATAAGTAGCAGCTGCATATCATTTTTCAGACAGAGATATTAAGTGGAAATTTTAAATCTTCTGTTGGGGTCATCCTGAGCAAACTATAATGCATGTACAAGTCAGTGCCTAAATAGGATGGAAATATTATACTAACACATTATATTGCCAGGCTTAGATGATTCTGTTTTAAATGTAAAACTGTATTACCACTAATTATGGTCGCTATCAAAGGGCAGAATCTCACCCATCACCAAATCTAGATGCTCAGAAAGATTACACACACTTTTCACGACCAGACTGCATATTTGAGCGCTTTAGAGTATAAGTAAGTCCAGGCCTGTTTTCCCCATGACTGAGGTACAATTTTCTGCATTCACAGAGATGTAGCAGAAATCCCAATCTAGCTTTTCCTTTGTCATTTCTGAATTTCTCCAGCTCTCACCTTCTAGCTGCTCTTCTTTTATCAAGGAAAGCAAATTTATCCTGGAATCTCCCAGGCCTTGCAGAACTCAGTGCTCCACACCTGTTCTTTACCTGCCTGTTCAGAGGCTCCTTTAAAAGGAGCCAGTCAGGCACTTGGCTCAGGTTTTGGCTTCTTCCCAAATGCCAAGGCCTTCTGGAAACCCCTTATTGAATCACTACCCCACCTAGCCAGAGATTCAGAAAGGTCAAATGTGTGAGTCAGTACTGGGGTGTGGGGAAGTCACTGATTCCCCAAATGAAATAGGGTGCTTCAGTGATAACAGACGGAGACTCAGAGGCAAAATGCCACCTTCTGAATCACCAAATCTCTTCATGAAGCTTCACAGTAAGGTTTTCTATCCAAGCATGAAGAATGTTCCCCTTGGTTTTATTTCTAGAATTTAATTGTAAATATTAACCTGATACTTACAACAGAACATCCTGAAAGCTCATGAACTGATGTGCTACCAAGTAGGCACCAAACCGGAAACAGGCAGCATAGGAAAAATACATCATTGCCTGGGTGAGGGCAAATGTGATTCCAAAGATGTGTGCTTTCCTCGAGGAGTTTCTGAAAAGAAGACATTTTGAAACTTACTTGACCTTCAGTTCTCAATGCTTAAAACGCAACATTTAATAGATTAGCAGTGGCTCATGGAGGCGAGGGAAACAAAAATGGGTTTAGTTTCCAAAAAATTAAGTTTGGTCCTCACTTTACTACTTGTAAAAATTTAGGAAACTGCCTAATGGAGGATTAATGACACACACCTCAGAGTGTTGAGGTAAAATTAAAATAATCCAAAGAAAACATGAAGAGCCTGTTAGGGATTAATAAATAGAAGTTCCTTCCCTTTTCCCCCGTCTTGGACATATAACATGTATGTGCTCTATAGTAAACATTCATTCAGCAAACATTTGCCCAATACCTACCAGCTGCAGGGACCACGCTGGGCGACACAGAGGAATCAGGCACTTTTTTGCCCTGGGGAACCCAGGGATCAAGTTGGATTATAATTTATGCAGTGGAGGTAGCTTGTGAATAAAATGTTATGGGAAGAAAGGAGGTAGCACTTTACTCTCTGGGGGAGTTAGAGAAGGCTTCACAAAGGAGTTAACATTCGTGGATTTTCTGAGCCACGTGGAACTGGGCAATGTGGAGTCAGGCTGGTGAGTGGGCAGCCCTCTGGGCCATCAACTCCTGTTTCAACCAGATCAACTCTGCTTTTATCTGTTTCATATATTGGGATTTCAAATAAAATTTTTTTCAGAAAA